GAAGTGGGGAGCCAATGGTGTGCTAACTGCTTTTGCATTGCCATCAAAGCTGAATTTCTTCAACATCTTCTGCAAGTAGCTCTTCTGTGTAAGCTTCAATTTCCCCTTCACCCTGTCTCGCTCGATCTCCATACCCAATATCTTCTTTGCCTCTCCAAGATCCTTCATCTCAAACTCGGATGATAACTCCTCTTTCAGCTTTCGAATAGCTGAAGAATTCCTGGAAGCAATAAGCATATCATCAACATATAAAAGCAAATATATGAGCTCACCATCCTGTAGCTTGTGCATATAAACACATGGGTCATATGGGCTCCTCGTGTACCCTCGGCCAATCATAAAGCCGTCGAATCTCTTATACCACTGTCTTGGTGACTGCTTCAAACCATAAAGAGACTTCTTCAGCTTACAAACCAAATTTTCCTTTCCTGCAGCTTTGAAACCCTGTGGTTGTGTCATGTAGATCTCCTCATCTAAATCACCGTGTAGAAAGGCTGTCTTCACATCCATCTGGACCAAATCCAAATCCAACTGTGCCACCAATGCCAATAAAATCCGAATCGACGAATGCTTCACAACGGGTGAAAATACCTCGTTGTAATCAATGCCCTCAAGCTGTGCATATCCCTTGGCAACTAATCTGGCTTTGAACCGAATGTCCCCAATAGAAGATCCCTCCTTCTTCGCATATACCCACTTGCAACCAATAGCTTTCTTACCCTTAGGTAGATGTGCAAGTGTCCAAGTGTCGTTCTTCTGAAGAGACCGCATCTCCTCCTCCATAGCTTCCCTCCACCTGATCGAATCGGGGCTAGACTCTGCCTCCCTGAATGTGGCTGGAACCATATCATCAACGACCTCCACTGATAATGCATATGCGACCATGACATCATTATACCTAGCTGGCCGACGAATCTCTCTCCTCGGTCTATCTGCTGCAATGGTCCTCTGAACATGACCCTGTTCCTGAGTCCCATGATCTACTGTATCATGTATCTGCCCATCTGTCATATCATCTCCTCCCAATGTCACCTCTGTAGGAGCCTCAATGGATACAGTGTTCTCTGGAGTGGGTGGAGTCACATCATCCTCCACCTGCTGCGATATCTCTCCTGTCTGGTCTCCCTCCACCTGCTGAGGGGCTCGAGGCCTCATCATGTACGCCTCGTCAAATGTGACATCTCTGCTAATAACTATCTTCTTGTCCTGTGGATCCCATAACTTGAAGCCTTTGACTCCATCCCTAAATCCCACAAAGACTGCTTTCCTCGCTCTCGGATTTAATTTGCCATCACTGACATGATAATAAGCTGGACACCCGAATATCCGAAGCGACTCATAGTCACTAGCCACCGAACCAAACCAACGCTCCAAAGGAGTCTTCCCGTCTATCGCAGTGCACGGCAACCTGTTCACAAGATGGCTCGCATAAACCAACGCCTCAGCCCAAAAAGATCTAGGCAATCCACTTTGCGTCATCATACACCGCACCTTCTCCAGCAAGGTACGGTTTAATCTCTCAGCCACCCCGTTTTGTTGCGGTGTCTCTCAAACTGTGTAGTGTCTTTTAATGCCGTGATCCCGGCAAAACTGTAGAAACGGATCACTCTTGTACTCTCCACCGTTATCTGAACGTAGAGTCTTCACCTTTCTACCTGTCTGCAGCTCCACTTTCTTTTTCCACTCCACAAAAATATCCAGGACCTGATGTTTATGCTTCATCGGGTATACCCAATTCCTCCTGGAATAATCATCAATGAAAGTGACAAAATAGTTGGCCCCACCAAGAGATGTGTTCTTGGAAGGACCCCAAACGTCCGTGTGAATATAATCCAATGTACCTAGGGTGTTATGAACAGCGGTGCCAAACTTCACTCTAGTCTTCTTCCCAAGTACACAATGCTCACACAACTCCATCTTGTACGTCTTAGCACCTTTTATTAACCCCTGTTTTGCCAATGACTGTAGGGACTTATCACCTGTGTGTCCAATTCTCATGTGCCATAAGGTGGTAGTGTCCTCCTCTGTAGTGATAGAAGCTGCCAGACCCCCTGTAACTGTCTTGCCCTTCAAGTAGTAAAGGTAGTTTTCCCTGACACCTCCCATCACCACCATAGAACCCTTTGTGACCTTCACTGTAGCATCCTCTAAGATCACTCGATATCCTGCTGCCTCCAAAGTCCCAAGAGAAATGATGTTCTTCGTCAACTGCGGCACGAACCTCACTTCCTTCAATTCCCTCACTACACCATCATGCATCCTGATCCGGACTGAACCAATACCACCAATAGGGCATACGTGATCATTACCCATAAGCACGACATCCCCTCTTTCCAGCTCCTCAAAGCTAGAAAACCACTCCCTCTTAGGGCAGATGTGATATGTAGCTCCCGAATCCATCATCCACTCCGTGGAATCCGCATAGCAAACCGACGGTAAAGCAGGGCATGAATAGCCTGAAGAATCTGAATCTGAATGCTCACCAATAGCTTTTGCAACATTCACTTCTGAAGCTTGTGCAGCTTTCCCCTTATTCTTTCTGGCTTTTTCTTTCCACTTTGGGCAGTCAATCTTCCAATGTCCTTCTTCTTTACAATACCGACATTGATTTCTACCAACACTCTTATAGGCACTCCTATTCTTTGACTTTGAGCGGTTAAACTGACGACGGTTTGGATCTCGGCCTAGAACTGCTAACGCATCTCCCGATGCCTTCTCGGAGGGTTCACCATCACTCTTCCTCAACTCATAGTTCACCAAAGCTGAGGTCACCTCCTTGTAGCTAACCGTAGTTCTTCCATTGATCATAGTGAGAACGAACGTACCATAATCATCTTCGGGCAACGAACACAAAAGTAGCATCGCCTTGTCTTCATCCTCAACTATAATATCAACATTGGCCATATCTGAAAGTAGCTTAGTGAAATTATTGACATGCTCCCTGATGGAAACCCCTCTCTTCATCTTGAACTGGTAAAATCTCTTCTTCAAGTGAAGCCGATTCTCAATGCTCTTCGTAAGATATTTCTCATTGAGTGTTTCCCACATCTTCTTCGCCGACGGCTCGTTCATAACATCATAAATAAGATCCGGCGTCAAGCATAACCTAATAACACCACAAGCTCTACTGTTCATCTTTATCCAAACCTTATCCTCCAACTCAGCGGGTTTCTCTTTTAATTCAAGAGTCTCCTCCAAATTCTGTGCATCCAAAGCATCCATCACCTGACACCTCCACAATCCAAAATTGATCTTGCCATCGAACTTCGGAACATCAATCTTCGTGTTATTTATGCTCAGACTCTGTATCGCCTTTGTTAGAGACGAACCTGACGTGCTTGCATCTCCCATGTTGTCGATCTAGCTCTGATACCAATTGTTGTGCGCGGCGGAAGCTTTCTAGGGCAACACGAACAATAACTCGAACTAAACCACAAACAATATGCAAACCATAATCACAGCAAGAACACACAATTTACGTGGTTCGGCAAGTTGCCTACGTCCACGGGGCAAGGAGGGGGGAGTTCTTTCTACTAGAAATCAAGAGAATACAAATAGGGTTACAAATCTCTCAGACCAAACCCTAAAACAAAACTCTAGATCTCTCAAAGCTCTCTCACAATTGGATGCAATGATTCTCTCTCTTTGACTGCTCAAATTCGTCCGACCTCTACCCTAAACAAACAGGTTTAGGTATATATAGAACTTACAAAACGAACCGGGTCGAAAACCTGAAAAAACTGATATCCGCTTCGTCGGTCGACCGACCCGGTCGACCGCGATCAATTCCGGTCGACCGGCCCGGTCGACCGACCAGCTCTCAGTAGAAAACCCAAACTCCAGAGAACCGTCGGTCGACCGGGCCGGTCGACCGATCTCTGAACGCGGTCGACCGGACCGGTCGACCGCCGCCTGGTTTGCCTGATTCTTCTGAGTTTCTGTAATTTCTTCACTTACTTTGATCTATGTATTTTAATGTGTTCATTCAATGGGGGAAGCAAATTAATGACCTTCGTCTGAAATCAGCCATCTATTTAAAATCAGGAGGTCAATACAAATTATAGCTTAAAGCCCACACCAAAAAAAATTACATCCTGGCAGAATCATTCCTCCTAATTGAATTTCAGTAGATTTGGTTAGGTAGATTGCGTAACAACCAACACATTGAAATTGTTAACTATAAACCTTTAACCCTCAATTGTCATGTTAATTTCAGAGTTTTGGTGCTTTTGCATTTTTGGTGTAACGTTTGGGATCTTTGACATAAAATATCAGAGCAATTCAAGTGAAATTCCCATCGGTCACAAATTCAAAAACATATTTGAGTCCAGGATTCGACCCATGAACATTGAACCTGAGGGGGCATGTTAGAATAATAAACTATATACCTATAAAATCTGACAACTTTCGGTCTTTTGATGTAGTGGAAGGAATCCATGATAGAAAAGTCGCAAAATTGTCGAAAACTATCCACTGATTCTTGTCCTCGCTATAAGGAAAGAAGAATCCACGCATCAGTAGGCTAATCTCTGTATCTCCGTATTTTGCACTGATTCAATGACACGCAGTCTTTGATGCATACACCAAATTAAATACCTGACTAATACGACCACCAGGTAGTTTATCAAAAGTTGCACAGCTGAGCACCAATTACGAAGGACCAAATGATATTTAAATCCTGATCGCTACCAATGCGTAGCTTACGCTAAAAAAGAAATGCCCCAATGAGATAGGAGCCAATGATGAGCCCATACCTAGGATGTGGATTCCTTGTTCTGTTTTTAGGTCCTTATATCATTCTCATATGAATTCCCAACCGAAGTTTGAGCTTAATTGTGGGCAACATTTTAATAGGTTGTTGGGGGCCCGGGCGGCCGGGGGGTGGGGGGTGCGGGGAGTGGGGGGGGGGTGATTACTTATCGGTATGCGGTGTCGGTCTTTTGGCTTCTCCTACTGCTAACAGTGCAATGCATTCATGTCATCATTAAATGCCAAGGTAGAGGAAGAGTTGTATACTTGCATTGCTAGTCTCCTAATACTGTTTTCTCTTTTATAAATATATCCTTGTTGGTGAGAGAGGTTAAGAGAAACACAGAGGTCAAAGAGAGGGAGCTTGACTGTGATTCAGTACCATGGCTCTAAGAAAAATACTCCAAATCTTATTGGTGCTCATCATACTGGTATCAGCTCAAGGTATTCTCCTCTTTACTAGCCATTTTCATGTAAAACACCCAGCATTCTTCTTTTGGTGCACTTTAATTTGTCAAAATATCAAAGCTGAGATCGGTTTTCTAACTTCGTTCCCAACTCACTTCTGCTTCATTCTGCAACGTCACATTTTTTTTACTTTTACATGCTCCCGCAACAAAATTTCAGATTAACAAAGACACAAGTGAGATGGGTTTCCTTACTTACAGTCCCTATTTCACTTCTGGTCCATCCTTTAATTTAAGATACAGGGTTTAATTACGTATACATCGATCCCAGGCGATGTCATTTCTCATATTTGTTTGAATTGTCATGTGGGAATCACTCGATGTATATTGCCTTTTATCCCGAGCTTCAGTGGTGTAAGTGCTAATAAAATAGTTTAGAGGATATAAGTGATCCTGACACATACCACACACATATATATTATAGGAAGTATGATTCTCAGGAGCCGCCTTAGATTGATTCTAAGGATGCACCTTGAAAATTATGTTATATGCAATTACTTAATCGCTCCGCTCATTTTTATCTATATCTTTTGGATGGTGTATAAACAAAAAAAACTAGTCATGGTGGATTGTAGTTACTCATGCATCAAGTGATTGTAAACTTAACGGTTTTACGACAATACAACTAAAGAGATAATAAAAAATGTGTTAGAAGTTTTGAAACATCATGATTTTTATTTTATAAATTTCTGAAGACATTTAAATCATGATGAATGGAGCGGGTCGTCCATTAGAATAGCCCAATCCATACATCGAGAGGTGCATCCTTACACTCAATCCTACATTATTTGGCTGCAATTTTCAGTAGATGAATAACCTTGTAAAATCTATTCATGTTTGCAGGGAGTGAGTTCACTAGGGAGCCATATTTAAGAAAAGCCAGCAGCTTTTCATCAGAAGCATCACAAGCGCGCTATGACTACATTATAGTGGGAGGGGGAACAGCAGGGTGTCCTTTGGCTGCTACCCTCTCTCAAAATTACAGTGTGTTAATTCTCGAGAGAGGAGGCTCGCCCTATGGAAATCTCAATGTTTCATATATGCAAAACTTCCATATATCCTTAGCCGATACCTCCCCGAGCTCTGCAGCTCAGCCGTTCATTTCAACTGACGGGGTCATCAACGCCCGTGCCCGTGTTTTGGGCGGCGGGACCTGCATCAATGCTGGCTTCTACACAAGAGCCAGCACTAGGTACGTGATTTGTATTTGGGTTAATTGCACGCAGACCCCTTCAGCGTCATTGCTTCGTTGTTTCATTGTTGCAAATAGACCGTAAGTTAACTTTTTGACTCTTTTACCCTTGGTGAAATTTTGCCGGATGTTGCCCCCGGGCATTATTAGAAAGTGTATATGAGGGTAAAGGAGTAAAAAATAATAATAATCCGAGAGGTATATCTGCAACAATGAAACTACAGGGGTAGTAAGTTCAAAGCAACAATATGTACTACGGTGCGTTATGTCTTGTTCTCCCACATGAATGCTTTTCATTCAAATTCTCGTCGAGGACGTTGATTCGTCAACATTCAAAATTACTACTCCTCAAGTTATTTATGAGAATTTCCAATACTTCAGGCTGTTTAGTGTAATCTTAAAAGTTCAGACGAGTTTTCTCTGATTTATAAAGTTCAGGTGTGTGTTTTTTGTGCAAATGCCCCCAAAGTTCAGCCGGGTTTAGTGAAATGTACCCTCCTATCTACTTCACAGGGTTCAGTCATTGAAGCTTTCCTGGTTCTTCCTTTGCTTGCATGTATTGAGGAGTAAGGACCCGCTGCGTCTTTTTGCATTTAAGGGCATTTCATAACCAAAGTTATATCTATTTCGAGTAATTAAGTTGTAACGCACGCTAGAGTAGCTTGACATAATATTTATTGATGTGGTCATGTAACTGACTACATCACCAATTTTTTTCATGCCTTAATTCTGATCAGCAGCATAAGTGACCTTTCTGCCAAGTCCTTGTCCATATATTTATGAGCTCACTAAAAAAAGAGATGTTTCCTTAAGTTTAGCCAACAGTGCGGTTGCAGTTCAAACAAGGCAAGCATGAACTCATTTAAAGATGTGGGTGATTCAGTACTCGTGTGAGGTTTCCCTGAAGAAAAGCATGACACAAATTGACGAACCAGCTTTTTTACGTCTTCGTCGAATGTTGCCACGATCGATATTGTTACTCTTTTTGACCCAAATACATGTGAACCATCCGCCTCTGTTACATGTGATCCCCATCAATTTTCATCTGAAGTGTCAACCATATCCGTCTTTGATGACCAAGTTTACAATATTACACGAACAACAGCGGTTGAATGGTTCCGAATACCTGAGATGCAACAGATATCAGTAAACTGAAAAGAAGTTACTTACGTGCAAAACCGTTAGCTTCTAAATTTTACTGATACGTGCACTGATCTCAACAGATATGTAAGAAATGCTGGCTGGAACGATGAATTGGTGAACCAATCTTACCCTTGGATCGAGGACCGGATTGTGCACAAGCCCAAACTCGCGCCGTGGCAAGCAGCAGTGAAGGACGGCCTGTTACAAGCCGGAATAGGTCCTTTCAATGGATACACATATGACCACCTCTATGGTACCAAGGTCGGCGGAACAATCTTCAATGAGCGCGGTTACCGAAGCACTGCTGCCGATCTCCTCTCCTCAGGCAATACCGAGAACCTCCACATCTTGCTCCATGCCACTGTCCAGAAAATTCTCTTCAAACAAGCACCGGGTAAACCCAATCTTTCTTTTATTTTAGGTTTTTTTTTTCTGATTTAAGGGGCTAATATAAAAGGAAAAACAGACAAAGCGGGTCTTAGCACATACTATTGATTGTGATAAAGAGAGAATAAAATGCGAGAAATGTTACATGTAAATGTGAGATATCGGTTCCTTTCCCAGAGGATCGTTATGACTGTACAATATCACATTTCACAGGGAGAAGACCACGCGCGATTGGAGTTCTCTTTAAGGATGAGAATGGCAAGCAACACAAAGCTTTCCTCAAATATCGACGCGGGAGCGAAGTCATTGTGTCGTCGGGTACTCTCGGTAGTCCTCAGCTACTGATGCTGAGTGGCATCGGGCCGAAAAAGGACCTAAACAAGCTGAAGATCCCGGTGATTCTCGATAACTTTCACGTTGGGAAAGGGTTATCTGACAATCCTATGAACACAATCTTCATACCGACAAAGAAACCAGTCGAGCAATCCTTGATCCAAACTGTCGGGATCACCAAGATTGGCTTGTTCATCGAGGCGAGCAGCGGGTTCGGTCAGTCCTCTGATAGCATCCAATGCCACCATGGAATAATGTCTGCAGAGGTTTAGCTCCTTTATGTTCATGTGTTGTTGTTGTTTTTTTTTTTTTTTTTTGGCTGGCTAATTAACCCCACTGAACATAGACGTTTTCGCATATAACCTTCTGACTTTTTTTAATCACACGTAAGCCCTAGAGCTTTGGGCCAATTACATGTAGGGGGTTCATGTGAGAGATCAGAAACGTGTAACGTTCAGGGTGGTTTTGTGAGACACCCCAAAGTTTAGGGAGTTTATATGCGACAAAAAAAATTCATGCCGTCATGTGCAAAACACTTTAAAGTACCGGGGATTTTATGTAATTAACCTTTTTTCCCTTTCTAAAATTAGAATTCGTCAGTGACAATTTGTGTCTTTATTGTCAGATTGGGCAGCTCTCTACCCTTCCTCCAAAGGACAGAACTCTCGCAGCATCTAAAGAATATGCACGAACCAAGCATCAACTTCCCCGCGAAGTGTTTCAAGGTGGATTCATATTGGGAAAAATCGACGGTCCTCTTTCTAAAGGGAGACTGAGCCTCATAGACTCAGACGTCGACACGACCCCAAACGTTACGTTCAACTACTTCAAGCACCCTTACGATCTCAAACGCTGTGTTTATGGAATTCGCACTATTGAACGTATAGTGAGAACCAGCCATATTACTGGTTTAACCGATGATACTGGCTACTCGACGCAGATGTTGCTTAATATGAGTGTGAAGGCCAATGTGAACCTGATACCGAAGCACACTAACGATACAGCGTCCCTCGAGCAGTTCTGCAGGGATACTGTGATCACGATATGGCATTATCATGGAGGATGTCATGTAGGGAAGGTGGTGGATAGAGATTATCGGGTTATTGGGGTTGGTGGATTGCGGGTTATCGATAGCTCGACCTATGTGGATTCACCCGGGACAAATCCTCAAGCAACAGTCATGATGATGGGCAGGTAATTCACGCTACAAACTAGAAATTGCGTTGATATAACTCTAGGGAAGCCCAAATGAAGTGAATTGTGGTAAGCATAATAAAGATAAATATGTCAAAATTTCGTAATCCTAAGTAGAACAGTGCACCTGCAACTAGAACATTGCAACAGCAAATAGATGTAGCTACGCTTGCAACCACTTGATTCAGTTTTTAAATTTTTATAATTTAAAGTTGTAACTGTGCAGTTGCAACTGTTTGATTCTGCTCGCAATCGATTCCATGATTAATAAGTTCATAACCTCACTCCATTTTGGGCTCAACAAACTTTATAATTCTTTTATATTAAAATTTGATTGCTAATTATGATTTAATTGTTTTTGATGCACAGATACATGGGGGTTAAGATGCTGAGAGAAAGATTGGGGAGAGGAGCAGGGGTGTAGGTGTTGCCGATGGAGATTTTTAGTTGTCAAGTGAAAATAACTTTGATTATGCATTATTCTTTTTTCTTCTTCTTCTGTGTGTGATTCAGCTTGAAGCATAGTGAATTTTGTGTGTTTTTGTTGGTATCTGTTGGGGTGTCTTAAAAATGCAAGTAGTGTATTGTACTTTAGGTGTTGATCGATGAACTGTTTTGTTCTCCTTTTCTCTTCTAGCATATTTTTCTAGGTTACTTGCGGATAGAACCCCTCCATTATCATTAATGGCTGATAGATCCCTTATAGTTCTATTGTTGCGGATAGAACCCTTGAGTGAATTTTTTTTGACACTTTTACCTTGGAGAAAGAGGAAATTGCTTTTCGTCAAGTAGACCTGTTGTGTCTTGAGGTCTCCTGGGGGTAAAAGAGTCGAAAAAAATTTCAGAACTAAGGGGGTCTATCCGCAAGTGATGATAGTACAGAGAGTCTTTCAGCGCTTCTGCGGTATTTAAAGACCCAAAAAAATAAAAAAAATAAAAACAAAAACAAAAAAAAAATGCACTTAATCTTGTGCAGATTGCAACTTTTTTTTGGCTATCACACCAAAAATTGGTCAGTGTGATTAGAGCAGCATCACGAAGATGAAAATTGCAAGACTACAGAAATAGTATGGCGGTTAAACATCACAAGGAGGATTAAAATGAGGAAAAAAAAGTTGAAAAAAAAAGTTAAACAAGTAACTGTGAATGTTAAAACCCCGAAAATGATTCAAGTTTCCTGCAAGTAGAGTTAGACTGAGTTCATAACGCGGTAAAGGATACATATACAAAGAACTGTGAATCATTGATGTTGAGCGCTGCGGAAGCCAAACAACCAAACCAACGTGCTATGAGAAATCAAATCAAACGAACGTCGAGAGAAGGCCAAACGAACCAAATCAATGCCACAAACACAAACAACCAATTTTAACGTGGTTCGGCAAGTTGCCTACGTCCATGGGGCAAGAAGGGAATAGGGTTTTTCACTAATAGAGAAGAAGAATACAAACTGAGATTACAAATCACTCAAACTCACCAATTAATCTCACCAACAAATCTCTAATTCTCTCCAAACAAAACTCTAACCAATAGCTCAGAAAATACCTCCTTTCTGTGCTCCAAATATCCCAAATTTTCTTCTTAATTCTCTCTTCCAATTATTCCATATATATTAAAATGCTAAAATCATAAACATATTAGGAATTCTAAAACAAAAAACAAAATAGATTAGGAATCCCAATAACCTGTTACCAAAACAAATTAGGAAACATATTAGGAACCTGCTATCCAACAATTCTCCACCTTAGCGAAGTTTTCCCAAAACTAAGCCGATACCAATACCAACCAAACGTCTCACTTGTTGCGTCCAATACGAAGTGGAACAAATCCACGACAACGGACTCAATCCATAACAAGTCGAGAACCCAAACGAGAATACGAACAAACTCCAAATGTCGGTATCAACTCACCAAACCGGCTGCTTCATAGATGATTGCCTACGTATCCTCTTGCCCAAGGAATCATGTCTTCATGTAGTTCATCCAAACGGCCTCCAAAGGCCCTCAATCAAATAGAAAAGTTTACAACTCTTCACCAATATCACTAACAGATCTGTAACTGATAGCGCTCCCAATGGCCCCAAACTGAAACAAATCAAACACCTCCACCTGAGGTGAACCAATGGTCGTATCCAATACATGTCCACCAGCTGCACTCGAATCCAAAACCAACTCATCATCTGCATCCAAATCCAAATGATCTCCAAACTGTATCACCTCAGCTAGAATCCCAAACGATACAGTATGATCTGGGGTATGTAGAGTAATCTCCACCTAATATAAAGTAGCATCACCCTCCACCCGCTGTGATATCCCAATGATCTGATCAACACTCTCCACCTACCGAGAGTCAAATATGACATACCTGCTCAGAACAAAATCAGAAGCTCCTAACTGATAATCAAACGAACCACATACCTGCTCAGAACAAAATCAGAAGCTCCTAACTGATAATCAAACGAACCTCTGAATCCCAAACGTGTAATCGGATCAAATCTCACATCCACGATGTGACCAAATACTGGGCAACTAAATATCCGACGCAACCCAAAATCTAAAGCAGCTCCACCAAATCTAAAATCTACACACGCAAAAGTCGGCAACATATGACTAAGATGATCCAAATATGTCGAAGCTCCAAAACCAAAACCAATGCTCAACAACCAACGCCGATCCCCCTCCAGTAAGGAACGACCCATCAAAACTGTTATCTCATCTCGTCGCCCTAATGTCTCCACATCAATGAAGTGTCTTAAACTGCCATGAGCTCGGCACAAATGCAAAAAAGAACCCCTACCAAAGCTAGAACGACGGGTTACCTTTCTGCCAATACACTTCTTCCAATTGTTGTTGACTTCTAGGACTTCACACCAACGGGACCTAGTTGTAACCCACCACTTCCTAGAACAATCATCAACTACGAAAACTAAATATAGATTACCTCCCAATGATGCCTCCTTGGAAGGCCCCCAAATGCCTGACTGAACACCACCTAAAAGACCCATCGATCGATGGATAGAAGTGCCAAACTTCACATCGGTCTTCTTGCTCATACCAATGTGCTCAAAGGACTTCAATCTGCAGGTCAAAACACTCCTCAACAAACCATACACGTCATAACCAATCAAATAACTCAGCCTCAATAAATACCACAGTCTAGCCAAATCCAAAGAAGTCGCCAGCTCTCTATCAAACACCATGCTCCTAATCAAATAATACAAAATATTCCTCCTGACGCCCTTCATCACAATCATGGACCCCAATGTGACCTTCAAACGTGAATCAACCAAGGTCACCCTATAGTCTGTTACTTCCAAAACTCCAAATAAAATAATATTCTTCTTCAACTGAGGAACGAACCTTACTCCAACCAACACCCGAATAACTCCGTCAGTCATCCTAATCCGAACGATACCGATACTACTAATAGGACATTCATGATCATTACCCATGAGCACGACCTCCCCTCTTTCCAACTCCTGAAAGCTGGAGAACCAATCCCTCCTAGGGTAAATATAGTATGAAGCAACCGAATCCAACATCCACTCTGTAGAGTCGGAAACACAAACTGACGGTAGTGCAGTGCACAAATAGCTCAAAGAATCTGAATTTGAATTGTCGTCACTAACCTTGGTAACATTCACCTCTGAAGCTTGAATAGCTTTCCCCTTATTCTTCCCGGCTCGATCAACCAACATTTGGCATTCGGCTTTCCAATGTTCATCCTCTTTATAAAAGGCACACTGATTCCTATGAACTCTAAGATGTGCCTCTCTAGACTATGACCTCCTACCATGGTTTGGACTCTTTGCTCTTGCGACCAATGCCCCCGCTACCAGCTCAACTGAAGTCTCCTTATCATTCTTTCGAAGCTGATAATTTACAAGTGCAATGGTGACCTCATAATAAGAAAGAGATGCCTTCACATTAATAAGAGTAAGAATGAAGGTCTCATATTCCTTGTCAGGTAAGGAACTCAACAACAACAACGCATTGTCCTCATCTTCAATCATCACATCTCATTCGCCAAATCCGCAAGAAGCTTCATGTAGTGGTTCATGTGATCACCAATAGAGATCCCCTTCTTCAATTGGAAGCGATAAAGCCTCCTCTTTAAATGAAAGTGGTTCTCTACACTCTTGGTCAAATACTTACCCTCTAGGATCTCCCAAATCTTCTTAGCCGACGTCTCATTGATCACATCATATTTTAAATCTTAAGTCAAACAAGATCTAATCATACCACACGCCGTTCTATTCATCTTTTTCCAAACCTTCTCCTCAATGTTGTCCGGTTTCTCGTCTAACTCCAAAGTATTTTCTAAATTTTGCGCATTGAGCACATCCAAGACTTCACATCTCCAAAGACCAAAATTGTTTATACCATTAAACCTCTCCACATCTATCTTCATAGAGTGGATATTCAAACTTTGGACGGTCTTCACACCAGAAGTATCCTCCACAACTCCTTCTTTCCTGACCATCTTTCTCAAAGCACCAAAACAAATACAGAACTGTAGGCGTATAAAATTACCTACGGGCCCTCACACGCAGCTCGAGGTACAGAGAAGACGATGAAAGTTACTATCTAAGTCACAGAAGCTTAATCAAAATTGACAAGCGCATGAAGTGAGTCAACAAACCATGTGAAGCAATGGAACTTCGGAATAACGGAAACACGAACTGATCGGGAGCTCCGCGTCACTTAGAAAAGACAAAACCCCCCCCCCCCTTCTGTCTCGTCCACTCCACATATGATTCAATCATGAAAGCTTGTAGATCTTCTCGATGGCTTTTTGATGCATCTTGAATTGTATGATTCTGAGTTCGAATGACGAAGATACGGCTGAAACAGATAAGACGCACAGAACTATGTTCCGGGCCTCGGCGAGACATCCATGAGTGTCTCGGCTTGTCCGCAAACCCGAAAATCAGATTTTGGCAGTTTAAAGTCGTTTTTCGACCGTTTACCGCCTGGATTTATTTTAACTGATCTGATATCATCCATGAATATGGTTAAGTGGTTACAACTAAAGATAAGATCGAATCGATCGTTTTTATCCGAAAACATGAGTCCCTAAGCCTATAAATACAGTCCCATGGCCTTTATTTTTTGAGATCTGGAATTCTCTAGCGTTGACGAAGCCCTGCTGAATTGAAGACTGAAGAGCCACGAATTTCAGAGAGGAGGAGAAGACTTCAGTGAATTCTTTGGCATAAAGAAGAGGAGTTCGTCAGATCTGTAGCCTAGTTTTTTTTTCTTGAGATTGCCCCGTTGCGGTGATCTTGAGAAGAGTGATTATCTCGCTGTTGCCGAGATAATTGCTTCGGTTTCTTGATTCCTTCGTGAATCAACGAAGCTCCGGATCTGATCTGATTGTTTGGTGGTCTACGGATACTAACGTTCCCGTCACAGGCCAAGATCTCACGCAAGCAGCGGAGGATAAACGTCTATTGCGTTTGTTTGAAGGTGATTATAATTTTAATTTCATTGTGTAAAGGTCTTATAAAAAGACCAATTTATTTTTTTTGAACTTGTTGTAACGACTGAAGTTGTAATAAGTTATACAATGAAGAAATCGATTTTCCATCCAAACAAGCTGGCGACTACAGTGGGAGCCTACAGCTTC